ATTTCTAGGGGGTGCAAAATCTCTATTTTTTCCAATCTATAAATCTCTATAAAGAATTTCTTCACTATTTTTGCCCAGTCTGAGGGGCGACGACACCTGCAGGGATGCATGTTGCTCCGCCAGTGGTGGTCGTGTATCAACAAAAGAGCATCAAGCATTGTAAACTCTTTACTATCTAATGGTCATCTTATCTTTGAAGTGGTCAACTAAAAATATGAATTCATGATAAGACGAGGAAGAATCTAACAGATTGAGAGATAGAGCTCGATATTTCACCATGATAGATAAACTCTAAAATATCACGCAAACCCTAAAATTTATTTCATACCGTTGCAACGCACATGCTTTTTTTTTTGCTAAAATGTCAACTTTTATTAAAAATAAGGAAATTCCCACGTTTAACCATATTATCAACATTTATTAAAAATGGATATAAAAATTGATGCATAATGACACATGCAGCAGGTTATGCCCATTTATCCGCCCGGTGCAACGCACGGGCATTTGCACTAGTTAATAAAATGACTATATGCATGGTCCAGATGTAGAGGCCGGGGTCCTCCTCTTTTTCTAAAAGAAAAGATTAAACCGAAGGGCTACGAGTCTCTCTACCCTTTTTTCTTGAGGGGATACTCAAGGAGTTAATATATTTTTCCCTTTGGAAACTAACAAGACAATGCAGCCCAAATTCAAGTGGGCTGAATCTCGCGTACATTTCAAAGCTATGGGCCATAATCAATTCGCCTACATGAAGAAGACAAGACTAAAAGTTCCCTAAAATTGGCATGCCGTAGAAAAAAACTACTCGAGGTGATGCTAAAACGGTAACAAACAGTGACTTCGTAAATTTCAAGATGATATGCCGGTTCAGTCTTTCGGAGATGCTCATAGGGATAGGGTGTGCGTGTGTGCATTCATAGGGGTGAGTATATGCGCGTATATATAAGCGCTTGCGTCTGTACCGTGTTAAAAAATACATTAAAATATTATTTTATATATTTATTTATTTTCTAGGAATAAGAGATATTCAGCTGAGAATCATGTGGGTTACCATGCTGATATTATTTTTGGCTCTAGGGAGTATATGTTCCTGCGCACCACAAATGTATTTAGCCAAGGTAAAAAGAAATTGAAAAAAAGATGTGTTTATTGTCACACCCAAATGATATCTGCATTTTTCTGGAGGGGGTGGGGGGTGGGGGGTGGTTAGCTTAATCATGTTGACCTCATAAAGAAAAACAAGTCAAACAACAAATGTTACCTTCAAATGGTACACTTAATTTTTTTTTTTCACTGGTGAAGCACTGCTATCCCGCTCCGCATAAAAATTGGCAAGCATGCTTGTTGCTAACATGAACATCTACAAAAAAAATCAAAATTTTTAAATTTATTTCTTGTTAGTTTTTAGTTTACTGTTCACCATGGAGCATACCCTCCCTAGAGCCAAAACTCAGCGTTCGTTAACAAGATTATTTTTGTGGTGCTATTGTCAGGGAGTATAGCTCTATTTATGAGTGTATTAAGAGCTTACTTGATTGCTGAATTTATTATCCATATGATAGACATCCAAGCAGGTGGTGCCTCAGAAGGACACCTTTCGACATTTAGGGTCAATGTTGCAGAAGAATGGAGGTATTGATGAAGATATGAATCATTGCATCAAAGCCAGATGGATGAAGGGGTGCCAAACTTTTAGCATTCTATGTGACAAGAGAATGCCACAAAAACTAAAAGGCAAGTTCTACAGAATGGCGATTCAACCCGTAATGTTGTACGACGCTGAGTGTTGGCCGACTAAAAGATGACATGCTCAACACTTAGGTGCGGCGGGGATGCGCATGTTGAGGTGGATGTGTGCCACACGAGGAAGTATCGAGTCCGGAATGATGATATACGACATAAAGTTGGGGTACACCAATTGAAGAGAAGCTTGTCCAACACCATCTGAGATGGTTTGGGCATATTCAACGCAAGCCTTCAGAAGCTCCAGTGCGCAACGAATAGCTAAAGCGTGCGGGTAATGTCAAGAGAGGTCGGGGTAGACCGAATTTGGCATGGGATGAGTCCGTAAAGAAAGATCTAAAAGACTGAAGTATCACCAAAGAACTAGCTATGAACATAGATGCGTGAAAGCTTGCTATCCATGTGTCAGAACTATAAGTTGGTCATGAGATTTTATGGGTTTCACCTCTAACCTACCTCAACTTGTTTAAGACTAAATGCTTCATTTTATTGTTGTATGGTAGACATCCAAGATGGCAAACCCAATATTGTTCCATCCACTATAAGAAAAGGCACAAATTTATGAGAGTGGCAATAGAGTGGACGAGCTCGCTTGCTTCTGCTAGGTGGACCAATGGAACAATCACGCATGGGCACATGTATAAAGTGCGGGCGTAGAAATCACAGAGGGATACCAGCAGCAAACAGTAGCATACCGAGACAATGCCGTTTAATATGTAAGACGGTAGAACATGCATACGTTTCGTTGGTACAACATGCTATTTATTGTGAAAATTTAGTGGCATCTCATATTCTCTGTGCATAGTGGCGGAGCCAGATCCTAGGCAGCCCGGGCGCTACCTGAGGCGTGAGATGCATTTCCTTTGGGTACTGTAGCGGAAATGTAGTGCTACAGTGCCCCAAAGGCTGCGTGAGAAGCTACTCTTTTCTACCGCCGATACTGGTTGTGCATGTTTCTAGACAGTGGCGATGAAGATTCTTGAAGGGACTAATCAGAGTTATGGGGATGAAGAAAATTAGTTGTGCACGAACTCTAAGAAATAACTGTTATTCAGACCTAATAATTCGGAGTAGTTTTTCTAGAGTGGGGGAGGGGGGCCATGGCCCCCTTTGGCTCCATGAAGCTCCGCCATTATTTCTAAAGATTGTAGTACTTTTTAGGTGCAACCCAATTAGGTTTAACGGCTTTTCAGACAAATCGGTTTGCATGATGTTCCCGTCTACATGTGGACCATGGCAGCAGTCATTCAATGTTAACAATTGTTCGACTGTTTGGGTAGCCCAGAAGCTTGACTTGCTTGTATCTCGCAGAGGGCGGTGCTGCCTCATGCAAGAAAAACAATGGTAATCGTGTTTTAAATTTTGAAAAAGTTAGTGCAAATAAAGAACTGTTCATGAATTTCCCAAAAATGTTCATAGTTTAATAAAAATGTTTGTGAATCGGAAAAAATGTTCATGAATTCAAATAGGTTCATGTATTTGAAGAAATTGATCACACATTTGAAAATTGTTCACAGATTCAAAAAATATTTGTGAATTCAAAATATGTTCGAGGTGAATTCAAACAATGTTCGTGATTTAAAAAATGTCCACGAATATGAAATCTGTTCACGGTAAATTCAAGAAATGTTCACAAATTCAAAATATGCTCAAATATTGTAGGAAAATGTTTAAGTATTCAAAAAACTGTTCGTGAATTTGACTATAGTTCATGAATTCAGAAATGTTTAAGTGTTCAGAAATTCATGAAAATTTTCATATATTCAAAAAAATTGTTCACGTATTCAAACATTGTTCACAGATTCAAAAAATATATGTGAATCCGAAATATGTTCGCATTGAATTCAAATAATGTCCGCGAATATGAAATAAGCTTTTGGCGATTCAAAAACTGTTCATGAATTCAAAATATGTTCAAGTATCCTAGAAAAATGTTATTGTATTCAAAAAAATGTTCCTGAATTTGAATATTGTTCATGAATTAAAAAATGTTTGAGAATTGGAGATATGTTTGCAGAAAATTTTGAAAAACATTCACAAATTTGATAATTGTTCACAGTGAATTCAAAAAATGTTCACAGCGGATTAAAAAAATCCTCGCAAATTCAGAAAATGTTCACATATTCAAAAAAAGTTGCAAAATAAAAAATATTAACATCTTCAAGAAATGTTCGTGGATTGAAGAAAATGTTCACGACTACAGAAAATGCTTACCAATTCAAGTATGTTGGAAGCAAATTTTAAAAAGTTTGCGAATGCAAAATATGTTCACGTATTCAATAAAATTGTTCATGCATCCAAAAATAATGTTTTGCGAATTGTAATATTATTCACCAATTCAAAAAAGTTCGCAAATGAAAAATATGTTCAACCATTCGAGAAAAATACTCAGGTATTGCTTGAACATATTGCAAAGGAAGTATGCTCACATCATGTTCAAGAATTCGAGAAAAATGCTCACATACTTGCAAAGGCAGCATACGCTTGAACTGGGCCGTGGGCACAAGATGGAGTTGGCCGCCTGTGCCAGCATCACGCAAATGACGTTACGGAGGCCGTGCTGGGTAACTCAATGCAACATTAAATTGACCTCTGGCCCACTAAGGTAATTTTGTAGGGTCTACCAGAAAAGGACTGTACATGGTACCGTGAGCAGGCGAGGACGAACACTCTTGTGAATTTTCGACAAACTTATGTACTATTGCTGCTCTTGATTCACCGACTAATTTAAGTCAAATTGTGACTCCACCATCACCACAACCAGCTTCAGATACACATGACACACAATATAAAACATCACATGTAGTTGATATTGCCTCTCATGAAATTGGTGATAATGCTGCTTCTTCACTTGATGATACTGTTCCACTTGGATAATTTTTAGATGTTCATATTGCAAAAGATAAAGAACTTGAAAATTCTTATAATCTTGATGAATCACCTACTACACCTTTTATGAGAACTATATCTAGTCTAGTAATTTCTGATAGGACACCCATTGAACTTGATGAAAATTTTGGTAGTCTTTATTACAGTAATTCTCAAGGATGGTATTGATGCTGGTTTTGAACTATTTTATAGTGGGTCTTTAGGAGACATGTTTTTACTTGAAGATGATTTTTTGTGCTTCTCCTATATACATTAAAATGATGTTTATAATTCTTTGTTGATCCAGAAATAATTACTTTGGTTGAATCCGATGCTTTTCAAGTTATAAAAATGGAAATGCTCTTGATCATTTCTGTAAGATGATTTCTATTGCTAATATTTTTTCCAAGAAAGATATGAACCCAAGTTACCTTTTCCCTTTTCACTTAAAGATAGTGCTAAAGCTTGGTATAATAACATGATGACTCGAAGCATTACTAGTTTGTAAGAATTTCTTAGTGCTTTTATGGATATATATTTATCTTTGCATATGAGACACTTAGTTTTTAGGATATTTATAACTTTATCCAAATTGAGGAAGAGAGTCCCCCGCAAGCTTAGGTGAGGTTTTGTGAGTTGGAAAGGAATGCTCCTATTTATCCTATCAAGAAAAACGGGTTGGTTGATATATTCTATAGCACTATAACCCTTGAATCTAGGACACACCTAGATAGCTGTGCAGGGAGAGTTCTTAGTGAAAGCACATTCGATGAAGCTAATGGATTATTGGATAATATAAAAAATAATCATGATGATTATAATAATTATAATGATATTGGAATGTTACCGAGCCTCCACCAGCACCTACTCTAAGAAGAGATGCATGTGTTTTCTAAGTCTAGAAGATATGAAAGAAGCCACGAAATATGCTAAGAAAAAAATGTATTAAAGCTGAAGATGTTGAGAATTTACCTTCTAATTTCCATTTAAAAGGTGATTTTGAATTTTCAAATATTTCAAGAAAGTGATTTCACTCATTTTAACAAACGAATTTCATTGATTTCAAAAAATCGAGTGCACTATTTTTTTGCAAAAAGATCTCACTCAATTTAAAAACAAAATTAACTCATTTCAAAATAGACATTCAATGATTTCAAAAGGCTGAATTTTTTAAATGAGCATTTCAATGGCAACAAATGTTAATTTTCCATTTCAATAACAACAATCATATCCATTTTAATAACCAAAATATCAGTGTCACTAACACAACAATGCCGATATCATTCATCAAAACCATATCAATTTATATGTGAAACTGAACATGCTATTTTGTCATTTTTATTTCACCTTGAATGCATATGAAAAAAATTTATCGTTTCACTTACTTCAAGGAAAATTACATGAATCCAATTTTTTCAAAATTTACTTTAATTATTTAAATTGATTGGGGCATCAAAATTTAAACACGGTTAGAACATATCAAATACTGATCTTTTTCTAAAGATCATGCCGCTAGATTTTGAGATTGACGAAGTCGAAGTCGCCACAGACACATTCATAGTCGACGAGAACGTTCCCTCTCACTGAAAGCACATCGTCGGAAGGCCTGGAATAAACCCAGAAAAAAGCATGCATCAATATAAGTGTGAGACTTGAACTCTGATGGATAGTGGATACCACTCTTCCTCTAACCATAGAACTATAAGTTGGTTCGCTATAGGTGGGTTGGTAGATATACAACTGATGTGGACCTTCAGCTGCACGATTCATGGTACCGCGTGGTGGATGTTTGACCGTTACGTAGCAGTACCGTCATAGGGAGGGACACCGGAATCCTCCATGCTACTCCTAGTTTGGTCCCGGCGCAGTTGGTTTCCTTCTGCACCGGTCCGTCCGAAACAGGCGTCCACCGTAAGGCGTCGAGCCGTCCCTGGATTCGCTCGCTGGCTGCTGGCGGTCTCTCCCGCGCCGTGGACCCATCGTCGCCGAGCCCATGGTTTTGCTCCTTCCCCACCTGCACAGTCGCATGCATAAATATCCCCGCCGCGCTCACCCTTGCTTCCCCCACCACCACCACCTTTCCCTCACCTCTTTCTTGCTTCCTACCTTCCGAGGCGTGCACTGCTGGTGATACCGACCGATGGGCGCGGGTGCAGCGGGGCTGGACGTGGCGGGGGCCGTGCCCGCCAAGCGGAGGCGGGCGCTGGCGGCCAAGACCAGAGGGGGCAGGCCGCGGCAAGCGAGGAGGCGCGCGCAGCGGCCGACGGCGCTGCAGCGGCTCTTCCGGGCCTGCCGCGCCGTCTTCAAGGGCCCCGGCACCGTGCCCGCGCCCCCCAAGGTCGCCCTGCTCCGGGCCATGCTCGGTACGCACCCCTCGCTCCTCCTGTCCTCCATGTTCCGCGCGCTCAAATGCGGCGGGTCCGCAAACTGACTGACCGACTCAAGATGATGAATGAGTGTTGTGCTCCGGGTTGACTGAATTCTGGTTATCTATCTTTTTGTTTTGAGAAAATTCTGGCTATCTATCTGCAGACAGAATGAGGCTTGAGGACGTTGGCCTGAGCCCACACAGGTTCATCAGGACTAGGGATAATGCGGCCCAAGGGAACCTAACCATCACACAGCGTATCATATACAAATCTAATAATTTTTCGGTAAGCCGAAAATATTAACATGTCTGATCTGAACTTTGTAGTGCACGCTAGCTGGAGTTTACGTAAGAACGAATCGCTAGTAAGCTGCTCACCCGTTTCTTCTTCTTGCTTGGCAGATGGTCATCTTCCACCTGCCGCAGAATGCGGTGATCCCTCTACACAATCACCCCGGGATGACGGTGTTCAGCAAGCCGCTCATCGGGTCCATGCATGTAAAGTCGTATGACTGGGCTGATCCTGATTATCCAGCCGCTTTATCGCCCGACGATCAACAACGTGAGCTTCCGAGCAATTCTACCCAGTACAATTTCCCTGCTAATTTGCCAGTATCTAATAGCATGCATATATAGCAAATGCGCTATAACGTTGGGGCTTGATGAATTGCTTGCAGTGAGATTGGCAGAGCTGGTTGTGGACGATGTTTTCACGGCGCCCTGCGACACGTCTGTCCTCTACCCGACGGCGGGAGGCAACATGCACCAGTTCACGGCCATCACGCCGTGCGCCATCCTCGACATCCTTGGCCCCCCTTACTCCATAGAGGAGGACCGAGATTGCACGTACTACGCGGATGTTCCCTACTCCTCCCAGCATCCCAGTAAGCTTTTGGCTATATTGATCTCAGAAGTCTAATCCAGATAATTAACATGATGTTCATGCATTGACTTGCTACTAGCTACTCCCTCCGTTCCTAAATATAAGTCTTTTTAGAGATTACACTATAGACTACATACGGAGCAAAATGAATGAATCTAAACTCTAAACTATGTCTATATACATCCATATGTAGTTTGTAGTGGAATCTCTAAAAAGACTTATATTTAGGAACGGAGGGAGTAGTTCTGAATGAAATGTCCTTTATGAAAAAAAACTAGTAGTTCTGTATAAGCATGCATGCAACTGGAAATGCATGACCTCATATTATTTTTGCACTCCCCCACAAAAAGTATATATTATTTTGCCTTGTGAGCAGCCCACTGAATGTGGAAAGAGGTCTGTTAGTTAAGTAACAACCTGCAGCCTATAGGCATCTATCCTTGTTTATGGTACACGCTCCATTTGCATCCTATGGACATGAATACATGATTAATTCTCTTTATTAATAGGGTTAACACACGGTTTTAGGCCCCCGCGGGTTTTAGAAGCGCAGAATGTCGAAACCACTTGTACATAAACCATGTTCTGAATGACACTAGCCGTCCATGCTGTAGAACAGTATTAAAGTAACGTAGCTAGCTTCACCCCCAAAGATAGATATTTAGGGTTCCTTTGAGGCTTGAACATTGGTCGGTAATCATCGTGATGACCGATGATGCTTCTGCTAATTTAATATGTTTACAGCTAGCTCGTCACACTGGTGTAACCCAAGGCTAACTGATTTGTCTCCTCTTCTGCTGACAGTGACCGACAATGAGCAAGAAGGCCCGCGCCTCGCGTGGCTGAAAGAGGTTGAGATGCCGGGGGATCTGGAGATGTGCACCGTCCTGTACACCGGCCCGCCAATCTCCGACAGGTGATTAGGCCCTTTTCGGCGCCGTTCTTTCCAGCACTTCACGACGGATGATGAACAACTCAAACAACTCAAAAGAGATGATGTTAGAATCGTTTGCCGTGTGAATATAGCAGCAAAGCTAGCTAGTTCAACCGTGAGAATAGGTTTCAGTTTGTGCATGATGTCTCAGTCAGTGGTGGCAATTTATCATGTAAGAGTGCTTACCTGCTTTTGCAGCACCTGTGTGTGTGGACCTTGTCCAGATCTTTTGTTGATCTTTGTCAATGCGCGCATAGATTATCCATAGATAATTTTTTGGTCTGCAGGCGCCCGTATAAGCACCCAACAATGGAGATGTCCAATATTACACCTAGGTATACTAGTAGAACGTCGTGCGTCGCTACGGGCCGGCTACAATGCATATACTTGAGGAAACATCTCTGGTCTGAACTCTTAATCCAATTATGCCCCTCAATCTAGTCTATTACACCAACTGCTTTTTTTTATATGTACTCTGTGTTATATTGGTTGTTGGTATATCATGGAGAAAAAATTGAGCTACAAAATAAAATTCACTAATTATTATTATACATGCATGACCTTGTTATCAAGAATGATTGCTTACATAATTTTTGAAACGCGTATTGCCACACATATCTAGTAAAAATATATTTATATTAACAAAAGTCTAATAGTTTGTACAATTCGTGAATGTATATATGTGGTTAATATGTAGTTGTGAAAGAAAGAAAAAAGGTCTATGGGAAGTCATTTACTAATGACATCACATAACTGATCTTTTGATTTCTTTGGGATAAAATGCAAGTTCTAACAATGCAAATCAATAATACATGCATAGTCTCCTCTTGTAAATATCTTCTGCGATACGCTCTAGAACCTAGATAGTTGTCGCCTGTCGAAATCAATGGACATCATCTTCCTCGACTATGAGGCTGCCCTTCTTATGACGAACCTACAGAAGTTGGAATTAATGAACGAAAGCATCATGCAATTGAAGCTTGATAATCACAAAATGCATGACTACTTGGTAGCAGAGGCTAGATTGCTACGGATTAAAACATATCAAGCATAGCAAATGCTTTTTAACTAATAATCACTCTGTCGTCCTCCATAACCTATACTGACATGGTACACCTGGACAATAACATACTTATTTTCTAAATTGCACCTAAAAAGAAATCATCAACTATAAGCAAAAGAATGACGGACCAAGCATTACAGATTAGGCAGATCATGTGACCTTCATTAGATGCATGCTAGTACTAATCAAAAGTTATGTGTGCCTTAGGACCTACTATAGGAGCGGCCCTGTGGGTGCTGGCTGGTTGGTGGCCGACATCTTATCATGGGATCATAGCATTCTTCTCTTGAGTTTATCATTTTTGTTTCCATTTTATTTCTTTTCCTTGTACAACTGACGTGCTCTCTCATCCCTTCCTCTATCAATGAAAATGTAGCTCTCCTGCGTATATTCTATGGTGCATTCATGTGTGTGCTTTTAAACTTGATACAGGAACTTAAATCCTAAGGTTGAATAGATGATATATAATACAAAGATAGAGACATGTACGACCTCAGCTTAGCTCCCTAAATCAGTTGCTTTTCTAGTTAATCATACCAGATGAAGTAACTTTGGAACATCTATATAAAGCTACATGTGATATGTAAACATGTCAACACGGTCAAACAAAAACCGAGTGGCAAAAATGAAGTAATATTTATTTTTCATTACCTTGTGACGTCAACAGCCTCATTGTTTAGAAATGGTATTCCTTCCAAACACGATCAATAGAGAATGGATCATACTGTTACACAAGAAATAGTTCTAATACCATAATTGAGCTATTGATCAATTCTATACCAACATTTCAGTTTATCAGTAGCTTTTGGTGGAACATGTTGCAGACGACATGAATCCGTATGAATGTTGATTGAGTTAGGAAGTGAAGGAAATATGCCCTAGAGGCAATAATAAAGTTGTTATTTATATTTCCTTATATCATGATAAATGTTTATTATTCATGCTAGAATTGTATTAACCGGAAACTTAGTACATGTGTGAATACATAGACAAACAGAGTGTCCCTAGTATGGCTATACTTGACTAGCTCGTTAATCAAAGATGGTTAACTTTCCTAGCCATGGACATGTGTTGTCATTTGATGAACGGGATCACATCATTAGAGAATGATGTGATGGACTAGACCCATCCGTTAGCTTAGCACTATGATCGTTTAATTTATTGCTATTGCTTTATTCATGACTTATACATGTTCCTATGACTATGAGATTATGCAACTCCCGAATACCGGAGGAACACTTAGTTTGCTATCAAACGTCACAACGTAACTGGGTGATTATAAAGATGCTCTATAGGTGTCTCCGATGGTGTTTGTTGAGTTTGCATAGATCGAGATTAGAATTTGTCACTTCGATTGTCGGAGAGGTATCTCTGGGCCCTCTCGGTAATGCACATCACTATGAGCCTTGCAAGCAATGTGACTAATGAGTTAGTTACGGGATGATGCATTATGGAACAAGTAAAGAGATATGCCAGTGACGAGATTGAACTAGGTATGATGATACCGACGATGGAATCTCAGGCAAGTAACATACCGATGACAAAGGGAACAACATAGGTTGTTATGTGGTTTAACCGATAAAGATCTACGTAGAATATGTAGGAACCAATATGGGTATCCAGGTTCCTCTATTGGTTATTGACCGGAGATATGTCTCGGTCATGTCTACTGTTGGGGAACGTAGTAATTTCAAAAAATTTCCTATGCACACACAGGATCATGGTGATGCATAGCAACGAGAGGGAAGAGTATCGTCCACGTATCCTCGTAGACCGAAAGCGGAAGCGTTAGCACAACGCGGTTGATGTAGTCGTACGTCTTCACGATCCGACCGATCCAAGTACCGAACGTACGGCACCTCCGAGTTCAGCACACGTTTAGCTCGATGATGTCCCACGAACTACGATCCAGTAGAGTTTCACGGGAGAGTTCCGTCAGCACGACAGCATGGTGACGGTGATGATGTTGCTACCGATGCAGAGCTTCGCCTAAGCACTGCTACGATATGACCGAGGTGGAATATGGTGGAGGGGGGCACCACACACGGCTAAGAGATCAAGAGATCAATTGTTGTGTCTAGAGGTGCCCCCTGCCCCCGTATATAAAGGACCAGGGGGGAGGAGGCGGCCGGCCAGGGGAGGGCGCGCCAGGGAGGAGTCCTACTCCCACCGGGAGTAGGACTCCCTCTTTTCCTAGTTGGAGTAGGAGGGGGTAAGGAAGGGAAGGAAAGAGAGGAAGGAAAGGGGTGCCGCCCCGCCTCCTTGTCCAATTCGGACTAGATGGGGAGGGGGCACGCGGCCTGCCCTAGCCGCCGCTCCTCTTCTCCACTAAGGCCCATCTTGGCCCATTAAACTCCCCGAGGGGTTCCGGTAACCCCCCGGTGTACTCCGGTATATGTCCGAAACTCCCCGAAACCATTCCGGTGTTCGAACATAGTCGTCCAATATATCGATCTTTATGTCTCGACCATTTCGAGACTCCTCGTCATGTACATGATCATATTCGGGACTCCGAACTACCTTCGGTACATCAAAACACAAAAACTCATAATACAATCGTCACTGAAACTTTAAGCGTGCGGAGCCTACAGGTTCGAGAACTATGTAGACATGACCAAGACATGTCTCTGGTCAATAACCAATAGCAGAACCTGGATGCTCATATTGGCTCCTACATATTCTACGAAGATCTTTATCGGTCAAACCGCATAATAACATATGTTGTTCCCTTTGTCATCGGTATGTTACTTGCCCGAGATTCGATCGTCGGTATCTCAATACCTAGTTCAATCTCGTTACCAGCAAGTCTCTTTACTCGTTCCGTAATACATCATCTCGCAACTAACTCATTAGTTACAATGCTTGCAAGGCTTATAGTGATGTGCATTACCGAGTGGGCCCAGAGATACCTCTTCGGCAATCGGAGTGACAAATCCTAATCTCGAAATACGCCAACCCAACAAGTACCTTCGGAGACACCTTTAGAGCACCTTTATAATCACCCAGTTACGTTGTGACGTTTGGTAGCACACAAAGTGTTCCTCCGGTAAACGGGAGTTGCATAATCTCATAGTCATAGGAACATGTATAAGTCATGAAGAAAGCAACAGCAACATACTAAACGATCAAGTGTTAAGCTAACAGAATGGGTCAAGTCAATCACATATTTCTCCTAATGATGTGATCCCATTAATAAAATGACAACTCATGTCTATGGCTAGCATCTTTGATTAACGAGCTAGTCAAGTAGAGGCATACTAGTGACACTTTGTTTGTTTATGTATTCACACATGTATCATGTTTCCGTTTAATACAATTCTAGCATGAATAATAAACATTTATCATGATATAAGGAAAAAATAATAACTTTATTATTGCCTCTAGGGCATATTTCCTTCAGTCTCCCACTTGCACTAGAGTCAATAATCTGGTTCACATCTTTATGTGATTAGTTCACATCTCCATGTGACTAATACTCAAAGGTTTACTAGAGTCAATAATCTAGTTCACATCGCTATGTGATTAACACCCAAAGAGTGATCTTGTTTTGCTTGTGAGAGAAGTTTAGTCTACGGGTCTGCAACATTCAGATCCGTATGTATTTCGCAAATTTCTATGTCTACAATACTCTGCATGAAGCTACTCTAGCTAATTGCTCCCACTTTTAATATGTATCCAGATTGAGACTTAGAGTCATCTGGGTCAGTGTCAAAACTTGCATCGACGTAACCTCTTACGATGAACCTTTTGGCACCTCCATAATCGAGAAACATATCCTTATTCCACTAAGGATAATTTTGACCGCTGTCAAGTGATCTACTCGTAGATCACTATTGTACTCCCTTGCCAAACTCAATGTAGGGTATACAATAGATCTGGTACACATCATAGCATACTTTATAGAACCTATGACTGAGGCATAG